GAATTTCTACGACTGAGCTATCTTCACTCAGCAGAGAGAAACAGCTAATTCTAGTGTATTTTTTTTACAAATGTAAACAAATGCCAATCAGTCAGAGTGCTCCAAATTCATTTTACTGAAGAGCTTTGCATTAGTGCAGGTGGCTGTTGGTTATATAATTAGCCTATCTTTCAACAGTGCTCAATTGAAATATATTTTCAAGAGCTAAATTATGTCATTCATAGACAGTACAGTTTTGCTGTATCACAGATACAAACACATTTGATAAATCATACACAAACACTGGTTACTCATTACATACACAAACTGAAAACTTACAACTTATGATAGTTTAAAAGAACTTTCATGAAAAGTTGTGGATTGCTTTTGGAATTCACTCATCATTTATCTATTCTAAAAATAATTAAGCACAAAGTGATGCTAGAACTGTGAAATTTTGCATGCATCAATTTCAACTCTTCTTATTAATAGTTGCATTCTTTCTTTCCGAGTAAACTGACATCAGACTGTTCAAAGAAGACTGTTCATCCTTTTGGTCAAAAAAGTCCTCAGCAGCAGATATAATATCATCATCACTGCATCAGTGCTTTTTCATGTTGGGGAACAGATGATAGTCAAATGAGGCCAAATAAAGAGAATAGGGATGGTGATTAACCAGTTCAAAGCTACAGTCATGCACGGTAACCATTGAAACAAAAGACTTCTAATCCTGGAGCATTGTCCTGATGAAACAAAACCCTTTACCTGAGTGTTTGGCTTTGATAGCCTTTCATAAATGCCTCAGCGGGTTGGCATAATACTTTCTATTGATGGTGTGGACCCTTTTGAAGCTATTCAATAAACACAATGCCTTTTGCTTCCCCAAAACTGAGGTCATCACCTTCCCTGCAGATGAAACAACCTTGGCCTTCTTTGGAGTAGATGAGGAGTGGTATTTCCACTGAATAGATTGTCTCTTTGTATCTGGCTTAAAGTGATGAACCAAACCCTCATCCTTGGCTAGGAAACATTCAAGGGAACCAGCTGGATCTGCCTCAAACAATATCACAGAACTCAGTCAAACCCTTTGATCTTTTTAACTACCAGCCTTCGACTTTGTTTTGGCAAAGTTAGAGGCTCTAATTGACCCTGGATTGGTTAAGCATCTCACCTCACAAGGTCTTCTGTCAGATAAACAATATGGCTTTCACTTTCCTAGGTCAACTGCTGATGTATTAACAGTTATTGCTGAAAGAATCTAGCAAGATTTAGATAAGAACGGTGAAGTTTAGGCTTTGCTTTGGATATCTCAAAAGCATATGACAGAGTTTGACATACTGGGCTTCTTTACAAGTTAAAAGGTTATGGTATTTCTGGACAGATTTTTGAACTGATTCAATTTTTTTTATTAAATCCCAAGTTGCCTTGAATGTCCACTCTGACAGAGTTTGGCATTCTGCTCTTTTTCACAAATTGAAAGGTTATGGTATTTCTGAATGAATTTTTGAACTGATTCAATTTTTCTTATCAAATTCTGAAATGAAAGTTGTCTTGAGAAATCACTAATACAGATGTCCTTGAACCTATGTTGTTACTAACTTTCATCAATGACCTTCCTGATGTCATCATTTCTCAACTTGGTATCTATGGTGATGAAATAACTATTTACTTCTGTCTTAACAGTAAATCTGATCAGTCTGATAAGGTCAAATTGGCTGCTGATAAAAAAAAAACTTACAATCTGTTGTTAACTGGGGCAAGAAATGGCTTGTTAAATGTAATGCTTCCAAAATAAAACTGTTCTCTTAACAGTTTAAGAGAACCTTTTTTGCCTTCCATCAGCATGTGACTTATTGTATCTTCTCAGGCTAATGTTTTTCACAGATACTGAATTAATTGCTAGGTCTTCTGCCAGGAAAGTTGGTTACCTGTGTCATGCTAGACAATTCTTATCAGAATCTTAAACATTTATAAGTATACCATTCATACATGCATTAAATATTGCATGGTACTTCTGCTATATATTTAGAGATTCTAGATAAAATACAAAGAAGAATCTACAATATTACTGATTCTGACTTGGCATCTCATCTTCCCTGTGCCTTTTCTAAAAATATTTTCATAGTCATTGTTTTGATCAGCATTCCTCTTTGGTATCTAGACTTTATGAATTTAAACACAATACTAAATTGACAGAAAGGACCCATCCTTTTTCAGTTGAAATAACTAGATGAAACAATAAGTTCTTTGCTAACACTTTCTTTTCTTACACCTATTGCTTGTGAAACTTTTCTGGCTTCTTGCTTTCTGCTCAACTTTGATCTTCAAAAATTTAAATGCAACATCATTATCATCTGTCTTCTTAATTCCTGTTCTTTTATGGTTATCCCTCCTTAATACTGTTTTCCTTTTCTCATCTTAGTGGCTTTATTGCCTTGCTTGGGGTGAAATGATTGAAAGAAATCATGCAAGCTACAATATTAATGAGTATCAATACCTATAAACATTTTGAGATGATTTATTCTCCTTGTTATTGGAAAGGGTTATAGTTTATTTGATGGTGAAATTGGTTCTTTAACTAACCATGTCAGTTTAAATTTACTGAAGTTGAATTTGTGTCTATGAACAGCTATCATATTAATCAGTCACTTGTGTTTCACCCAAATATACAATATTGTTAAAAGATAAATGCCTATCATACTTAATTTTTTCAAATGATTACTTATTCAAAAATGACTTGGTACTGTATTACTTAACTTTGGTGCAATCTGTCATGAACAGTTCATAATATGAATAATGCAGAAAGAAAAGATATCAAGGAAGGTCAAGGTATTTAAACATGAGATCCTCAAAAGTTTTTGAAATATAAAACTGACCAATTATGAAAAATAATTTGCCCTGATTTTAAATCAGAAATTTCAGAAAATTTACAGTAATAAATTTCACTAATCTAACACTTGTAATTCCTGCAATCTATTAATGATGGATTATACTTACTGGTGCTAGAGAGTGGAATTCATAAAATTTAAATTATCTGAATTTACCGATCCAAATCAAGTTAATCTTCTTAGAGTAAAGGAACATTTTCTCTGGTCTGTATCCTAGCTTGTAAGCTAATAAATAAGGCTATCTATAGATTTATTAAAAAGCTATCGCATTTCACATGAAAATAATTTTATCCATTCAAATGACAATAATTTATAATAACATAGTAATGAGAAAAACAGGCTAATTGACTGCTGAGGTATCAGCTAAGTGAAAAATTTTATATTTGTATCAATCATATATACATATATATATATATGTGTGTGTGTGTGTGTGCAGGTATGTAGAAAAATCAGAAAGAACACGTTAGGTAAATAATCCAGGGTTCTTTAGTATTTTTGTTTTTATTTTTAAAAAACAGTGCCCCATACAGAAGTAGAGCTTAGATTATATTTATTTTTTTAAAAATATGATTCTTTCGCTACATAAGAGTTCTCATGTTTCAAAAACGAGAGCTGAAACCATCAATATAATTATTAAAATTAAATTAAAGTAACAAGCCCTGTTTCATGCTCAAGTAAAAATTTTGAAATTTACATATCGTTATAAGCATGTTCATTTGTTACTATGGAAATGGCCGAGGCGATCGTTTTTTATAAGGGGCCTAAGAGTTAATTTTTATCTACATATCAGGGTGAATTTCAAAATTGGTTATTCCTAATATATTTGAGAACTCTTAAGTAGCGAAGGAATCATATTTTTAAAAAAATAATTATAAATATATATATATATATATATATATATATATATATATGTGTGTGTGTGTGTGTGCAAACAAGTTTAAAAAGAAAATGATAAGGTCTGTCTGTTTAATGTTGAGTATTATGTTCAGAACTGTGGATAAATTGTCTGAGGTTCATATTTTGTTATTTTTGTTCAACAACTTTTGACTTTTCAGTTATTATCAAGAAATGAAGTGGTGTCTCTGTGACGGTTTTAATTCCCTTGTCTGCATCTTGGTATTTGTTAGAACACTGGATGTTTGAAATGGTCTAAGATACAAATATCCACAACTTAGAACATAATACTCAACATCTGATCTGGAAATATAATAAAAAATGAACAGATAGACTTTGTTGAGTAATCCAACTTGTTTGGATGAATATTTACTGCCAAAGTAAAGGGTGGGATGGATAAATTGTCATCTAAATTACACAAAAATGAAAATAGCACTGGCATATTTAACAAATATATCTATCAAAATTATATAAAAATATCTTGAAATACTAAAGAGTAAATTTATTCAATAAAATCACTATTGGCTGCAACCATGGCCTCCAGACAACTTCAAAATCTCCAACAACTCTTCTGGTCAGTCTCCTTGTTTAAGTTTGTGAATGCTGCCATAATCATTGCCTTCAGTTTATCTTTGGTATTACAAGTAGTTTTGTTGGTCTCTTGCTCAACTGTGCCTCACACATAATAATCCAGTGAGTTGCAATCTGGGGAGGTAGGTAGCCAGATGTAATAGGTGATGTAGTCACAGAAATTGTCTGACAACCATGGCTGTATTCATCTGCTTGTGTGGCATGGTTCAGAGTCCTGACATAGGGTCTCCCAGCAGCCACCCACTTGACCCAGGGTAGCACTAACTCCTCAAGGCACTTGATGTAGACTTCTGTATTGAGTCTGAGGCCCTATGGGAAGATGAATGGAGGTATAACATTGCCATCACTAGTGATCACTCCAAACACCTTCATAATCACCATTAGACTCATCCAACTCTTTCTGAATCTTCTACATTGTCCTCAGATTGACACCCAAGCACTCTGAAATTTTTATATTGGAGCTTTCAGTATAAACGCCAGGGAGTACAGCATGCCATTTCCAAATTTCTAGTGAAGTGAATTGCATCATGGTGCTCTTTTTTCTCACAGAAGGTGCCCAACTGACCCTACTATACTGTGCAGTCAACAAAATCAAAAACAAGCAATGTACGTGCAGAAAATTAAAAATATAGAATGGCAACAAATTAC